AAAAGTAAAAAGTTTATGTAAGCTTAGGTCCTGGATTGAAAATAAAGGAATTGAGAAGAAATTTATATAGGGAGCAACCAGAATCTTCATCTCCCCTCTCCAGCCTAGGCCACTTATGTAGTTTAAGCTTATGGGATTTTCTATTAAAAATCTTCCAAACAAATGATTTTGGTGGGTTTTGAATCCATTTGTTTGTTTTTTTTTTTAAAGATTTTATTTATTTATTTGAGAGAGAGAGAGAGAGAATGAGAGACAGAGAGCATGAGAGGGAGGAGGGTCAGAGGGGGAAGCAGACTCCCTGCCGAGCAGGGAGCCCGATGCGGGACTAGATCCTGGGACTCCAGGATCATGACCTGAGCCGAAGGCAGTTGCTTAACCAACTGAGCCACCCAGGCGCCCTGAATCCATTTGTTAAACATGGAAAAATACATCACTTTTATTTTATTTTATTTATGTTAAATGAGTTTAAGAGAATAGCTGATTCTCAGCAGGGAAGTTAGAAATTTCAACAAGTTTGGGGAGGGGGGTGGGAGGATGGGTTAGCCTGGTGATGGATATTGAGGAGGGCACTTTCTGCATGGACCACTGGGTGTTATGTACAAACAATGAATCATGGAACACTACATCTAAAACTAATGATGTAATGTATGGGGATTAACATAAGAATAAAAAAATTAAAAAAAAAGAAATTTCAACAAGTTTATATGGTGGCAGACATTAAAAAATAAATGTCAAGATTTAATAAGAGCTATCAAAATAAGCTCTTTCTATTTTTAATTATTTTAAGTGAGTTTTAAAAATAAATTTACTTAGCTATTACAGCTATAGAGAGGCTGAAGTCCAGGAGGACTTATGGAGGGTAAAGAACAGGGAGCCAAGAGTAAAACCCCAGAAATTTATTTATAAGTTTGTGGGACAGGTGGAGGAAGAGCAAACTCATAAATGTGTGAGAAGGAAGAGCCAATGAAATAGTGTAGAACAGGAGAGTGGTGTCCTTCATTCCCAGAGAGGAGCTTAAAGGAGGAAGTGGCCATCAGTGACAGATTTTTCAGAGAAATGAAATAGTTAAAGAAAGGAAACTGTCAATGGAGTTATTATGAAAATCTCAAGGAGGAGAGCCTCTGTGGAATGGTGAGGGTGGAAGCATTCAGTTGTTGAGAAGTCAAAGCACTGATGACAAAGAGTTTACCATCCTTTCTACATGTTTAGCTATAAAGAAAAGGTGAGAATAGGCAAATGCTAAAGGAGGGTGTTGGATGTCAGGACTGTCTTCTTAGATATGAGAAATTGGAGCATTGTGAGCTGAGCAGAAAGGGCCAACAGAGAGGGGAGGTTAATGACACAGGGGAGGGAGTTCACGTCTGATGGAGCAAGGTTTGAGGCAGAGATCAATCCTGGGTCAAGATTGAAAATAAAAGAATTGAGAGGAAATTTATATAGAGAACGACCAGAATCTTCATCTCCCCTCTCCAGCCTAGGCCACTTATATAGTTTAAGCTTATGGGATTTTCTATTAAAAATCTTCCAAACAAATGATTTTGGTGGGTTTTGAATCCATTTGTTAAACATATAAAAAAACATTACTTTTATTTCATTTTTTAATTTATTTTATTTTATTTTATTATATTTTATTTTATTGTATCCTGTTGTATCCTGGTTCTATGGGGGAAATTAGATATGTTGTGTCTTTACCCTAACAGTATTTTTCCCAAGAATATACCCAGTCATAAGTGCTGGACATGCCTGTGCATTTATGTGTTTTTCAGGATAATGTAGGTGATAGTAGACCTATTTATACACTTACATAAAGAGACCAGTTTATGACTTGTAGTTAATTAAAATGGTTGCTTGTTAATTACACCACTGTCTGTATTCCTAAATTTTGCTAACAAGAGGTCACCTAATTTTTAAATTGTACTCACTGCTGTACTGTCGTAATCTTCCACATTTTAGGAAAGCTTCATTGTCTGAAGTTTTGCCTCAGAATTCTTTCCAAAATAGAATGGGGGCCCTGTAAGCCTCCGCTGGAAGAATTTCTGAACATTGGTGACTCGTGCATTCACTGGTTCTTTCTGAGAACTTGTATTATCTCAGGGAAACTGAGAGTTGGATGATACTTGAATTTTATGTAAACTTTTGGATTTTTAAGCCACATGGACCTTCAGTAAGTGGTTTAATCCACATTATAGATCTTCCCAGAAATGGGACAGGATATCAATTTATGTATATGATCCTAAGGAAACTCAGTTATAGGGAATTGAAAAGATTTAAGGGCATCTGTCTGAGGTCTTATAAATAGTTGATGACTGACCTGGAACTATGGCACCAGCCCCCTGAATTTGACTGTGTATTTCTTGGCCCTGAAGGTATATTGTCTGTAGCAGGAAAGTAGATAGCTTCCATTACAAAATCATTACTGAATCAAATACTCTACCACCATGAATTCAGAGAATTAGTAAACAGGTGAAAGTTTTATTGGTTCCCAGACAATCCAGAAATAATTTCTTTTTGTATCCAAACTAGTTGTGAGTTTATAACTCAAAGTAGTTATGCTTGTTCAGGTCCTAGAGATAAGAGGTGTCATTATGAACTGGAGCCAGGCTGTTCAGATAGCATAAGGCAACTGTTCTTGGATCTGCAATTTTGTCACTTGGCCTTATTATTTTCTATTTCTTTATTTGTAATTGATTTCTTCCATATGTGTCATGTAGAGAATATCCTGAAGACTATTCTAATGAAATACACTGGATAATAGGTTTCAATCAGCTTACAGGGCTTTAGGAAGTATTCCTCAAGGACTTTGAGATCTCCTACTACAAAACCATTTAAAAGAATACTCTGATTGCATTTTACATTACTGGTTCAGAAGTAAATATTATCTTTATTAAATATGTATCTTCCATCTTTCAAAAACAGGCTATCAGACAATTGACATGTAAACAGATAAATATAAGGAGAAATCTTCGTAATCAGTCTTTCTTTTCCTTATTCAGGAAATAAGAAAATACAAATATTTATCAGCAATACTTTGTTTCTTGAGTAAAATTGCCAGAAGTCTATTTATTAAATAGGACCATATGCCCATTTATGCTACATTAAAAAAACTAAAGAGAAATATGTCTTACATGTATTCCTTGTTAATTTTGGAAGATCCATTTCCTTCAGACCTCTCTTGGAGCATTTATAAAATGATAGGGAGCATATGATTTGTGACACTTTACCATTTTTCATTTTTATCATGTGCATTCTTTGAATCTTTGCATTGCTTACAAACTTGAGGATGATAAGCCAGAGTGAAGGATCACATTGGGTGACATAAATTCTTGACAATGTAGCATGAATATATATGTAGCAAATTACCAAATACTGACTTGATCTGATACCAGAGTCACCCTTAAGAGACAAACATTGGGGTGATAGGTCTGCTTTTGTGGCTCCATTATATGCTATAGAGACTAGATAGATAAGGCTGCAGTGTTGGGGTGCAGAATGGTAATACTGTTACCTGGGAGCTAAAGGTTAGCTGTGTGTAATCCCACTTAAATCCCCTGGTCATCAGGGCCTCTTTCAGCAACCACAATGGGCATAAACTATTTTAATTTTGATTACAAATAAACTTTAAGAACAAAACAAAGTGATGTAAGTAAGCTTGGCTATGTATAACACAGGTAAATCATGCACCTTCTTTTTGTACACTCATTTGAGACTCCATGTTGATTTTTTAGAATATCTTTTTTTATTTCAAGACCAGACATCAGTAATACACAGAAACCTGATGGGGATGTGGATTGGGTGATTTGCCCTCATTCTTTCCTACTCAGAGGTGGCATAGTCTATGGCCTCTTACATTCTCAAGTCATGCTTACATGCTGTTTATATTGTCATGGAATGTATGGTGATTAACACAACATAATAAAAAAAAAGAAATATATTGTCATGGGAAGTGGTTCAAGAACAGAGGTGGTATTTTCATAACCACCCAGAAATTTTGGGTTTAGAAAACAAGTCTAACCTAGTGCAAAAGACATTACTCAATCCAGATAAAAGACTTATTTGCTAAAATCCAATGTATTTCTTACAGGCTTCTATTTATATAGCAGTACAGAATAAGAGTGTAGATCATTAAGCCATTAGAATTCAGTTTTATACTATCTGTTAGCATGCTGCTGACCAATATATAGCTTCAATTTTTCTGTGAAATATGCTTCCAACTTCCCTAACACACCTGGCCTTGTGCTTTTCATGTCCACTACTTAACAGCTGAGAGTGCAGACATTCACAAACATAGTTCCCAGATGCTTGGTGCGTGGGCCATGCCTGATGCTTTTCAAGAATGGGAAACACGCATTTGTGCTAAGATTGAAATACCCTGGGCTCAGGGTCGATTCTTTATTTATGTTCCTGATGTTTAGGAAATGTATTAGGAAACAAATCATCTGATGATCGAGGACTGGCAAAGGACATTTAATAAAATGTCAGCAAATACAGGAAAGAAGTTGGGAAGTAACTCACCATAGTGAAGAGAACAAGATGGAGGAAAGTTTGAAACCATAAGGGAAAAGGGCAGCCTACCTAATGGGGAGGAAAATTATTTGTAGAATCCTAATGGAAAGATTTCACTGATGCCAAAAAATATTTCACTTGATCAAAACACAATGGTTTTTTTAGTCACTATTAAGTAATAACAGGTAAATTACCAGAACTGCTGTGACATATGAACTCTAAGATTCTTTCTTGGCTGCTACTGGATCCACATAATAGGGAGTAATCTGGAGTTCTCAGCTGCTTACATTCCACTCATTAAAGGAACTCAGAGTGAAGCAAGCAGTGAACACATTCAGTTACTGCCTCATGCTTCGGGAAAAAGGGGGAAGATAAAAATTAAGATGTATCTTGTTAACTAGGTGTTGTGTTTCCTAGCTATATTCTCTATCAGGAGAAACATGGTAACAGCCAATAAACACTCTCTGTAGTCTTTGTCAAACATAAAGTAATATATGGACAAATGCAAAATATAATTTTATTTACCTGATTTTTTTTCACATATCAACTTACATGATAACAACACGTCCAGGCCTTCACAAGTACTTTTCATTTTCAAAAATCAAATCCAAACTTACTGGCCTTTTTGTTAAAAACAGTGGGAATTTTTCTGAGTATGCAAATGGTCCCAATCCAACCACTGTTCTTAAATCCCCTTTAATACCTCTCATCCGTGTGTTCTGTGAAGGCAGAACTTTCTAGCAATAGGAATACAGCTCTAAAGAAATTATACCTGAAAGATATTAAAATATAGCTTTGGCAGTTGGGGTGCCCAATTTTTCTTTGTGTCCTGGGCAATCTGAAGAAAAATATCTTGTTTTAGATCTCAGCTCTACCGACATTAAATGATAGCCAAGAAGGCAAATGGTACTAGGCTTAGTCAGTGTGTCTCTCTGCTTCTGTGTTGGATGTGACAGCCTTGTGTAAAGATCTGCTTTCAAAGTTTCCACTCCTCCGGCCTCTGGAGGGCTGGGCTTGAGGAAGGTGAACATCTCAGAAATCCTTTTCCATCAGTACAGCAGGATGCTGATGATTTCATTTGACATTGAAAAAGCAAGGGAAGAGATGCTAGGCTTATGCTATTGTGTTCACACTGGCATTAGATGTCATGAATGTTTTATTTTGTGGACAGTGCAACTCAACTTCAAAGCAAACCATGAAGTGCCAACATGTAGGTTGGTAGTGTTGACTAGCTACAGACCAACTGCACATCAGCCTACTGTATATGGATTCGCTAGTGCATTTCAGGAACGTAAGGGTGAGAAGAACCCATAGGTACAGTTCTTGGCACGGTTGATAAATAGTACAGCTGCCATTGGATTGTGGTGCATGCCAGAAGTCATTCTGCTGTGCTCTCCGTGCAGAAAGGTTTGTTGTTGGTGGAGATGAAAAGCATTGCAGATGTCATCTTCCAAACGCTGTACTTTTCTTATAAGTCGTCCACTGAACAAGTCCAGGGATCTAAAACCATTACTAGGAAATTGGTTTCACTGTACCATCCCCAAGGGTTATTTTGTTCAAAACCCCAAGTTTAAGTGAAGAGGAGTCATCTGTCCACACAATGGATGTAGAGAGACTCTTTTTTTTAGTTTTGAAAATCGATTTCCTCCGATGTTTGTGCAGCAGCTGTTTCAACTTGTCCTTGAAAAAGCTGGTTGTGAGAGTGTAGAGGATTGGGTTCAAGGCACTGTTTACTGGAAGGAAAAAAATGACTATCCAGGAGGTGATTGTGCCTGGAGAGGGAAATGAAGTGTGGAAAATTTCATGAAGTGGAAATTTTAAACAACACAAATAACACATAACATTTTGTAGTCAATGCTATTTGGGGAGGGCTACCTAGTTTGCTCAAGTTTTCTTTCACCTTATTGAAAATCTCTCTGTGGGAGGAGCATAGGAGCTATGAATCCAAGGTCCTACCATTCTGAATTTCAGGAACTACTTGGTAGTTTGTTGTGAGGTCAAATGAGAGGAAATATGTAAAAAACACTTCATAGATTTAAGTTGATATGTAATGTATTTTTCTTGTTTTTATTGCTTTTCTTGATAGAAAAGTAAGAAAATGAGGAAATACTTCTTAATCAATAGATCAGTGTTCAGGAAATGTCTAGCCCAGGGTCAGATCTGACCTTGGTCTTAACTCCACTCCTGAAGGCCTTATTGCCCCACCCCTGTATTCCAGCCATCCTATCCAGAGTGGAGGCTGAAAATGTGAAGAGCAAATGAGAATACATCTTCCAACTTAATCAATCCTTTTGTGTGGAGCCTTACAGATACATTTAGAATATTAAGGGAAAGATGCCACAAAAAGTCCTTTGTGAGGAGAAATTTGTGATGGTAGTGTCCTTTCCAAATACATCATGCGCTTGGTTAAGATGAAGTGTGTTTTCCCCTTTATGCACAGCCTGCTCTTAGGGTCAGACACTTAGCTACGTGACCATGGGCAAATCATCTAAGCTCCCTGGACCTCAACTACCCTATCTGTGAAAAGGGCTGATGATAACTTACTTGATCGAAGTCAGGGGGCTGGGTCAGAGTCGGCGGCTCTGCTGACGTCCCTCTTCAGCACTAATACCTGTGATTCTCTGACCCCACCACACTATGCTGCCTCTTCCCACATCTCCAAAAATGCAAAGAACTCTCAGCTCAGGTGAAGAGCTGGATCGTTAAGGCCAGGGATACCTTCCCTGTCACTCTCCTTTGTCACCTTCTCTTTCCTCCCCACCCTCACAATTTTCTTATCCTTTAGATACCGTTACTTGTTCTTCTTTGCCCTGCTTTATTCCTTCCATCCTTTCTGTTCTTCTCTTTCTTTTCTATTTTTCCTGACTGCTTATCTGAACTTTCTTCCTCTCTCTCCTCTCTCTTGTTATCTCTCCCTTCTCCTTTTTTCTGTTTGCCTTCCTCTTTTCCTATCCCATCTTCTCTTTCTTGTCCTTATTTATTTTTTTGAACTGGAAAGAATATGGAAGAAAAATATCTATATTTAGCATATCTTAGATTTATTAAAGTTTCATATTACTATGTTACTTGTATTTAATTTTTAAAAATTAAACAATATGGACAGTGCATGATTGAAAAAAAAAAAAAAACCAAAGCAAAACAGAACAAAGTAAGTTGCTTTTTGTCTGTTACGTCCCCAAAGGAAATTGTGACCAGGAATGAGACTTCCTATTCAGTCTCAAGGTGACTCACTAATGTAAAGTCAGCAGGTGAGTTCTGAGAAAGGAAGGCTAGTGCTGGCTTATTTTTCCAGGCTGACCACACATACTATCAGTGACATGCCATGGTGGAGCACACTCCAGAGTTCTTGGGGGGTGGGCACAAGATGGGTTTAGGTCAGTGAGTGCAGCATTTCCTACAATACATGGGAAGTTGGGCAAACAAGAAGGGGCTTAGTCAAAAATAATCAGGGCTACTCTTTTAGGCCCATTGAAGTGTCCAAGACAAACCTCAAAGTATTGAGCTATAAATGTAGAGAAAGACTGAGGTATGGCCCAATAAGGTTTTCACAAAACATTCTTTTTCCTATTCCAGTTTCCCGTCATGATCTGAAATGTCGCAGGCTTTCCAGGGATGATGATTACTCCTGCGGCTCTCAGATACCATGGATCACCAGACATCTCCTGATTCTAAATCAGACAGTGTGGTGGGCTAAATTATGACCTCCCAAATTCATACACTGAAGTCCTAACACCCAGGACCTCAGAATGTGACTGTTAGAGACAGCCCTTTAAAGATGTCATTAAGTTAAAATAAGGCCATTAGGGTTGGCCTTAGTCCAATTTGATGGGTGTGTTTATAAGAAGAGGGAAACTTTCCTATATGAGAGATACTGTGGGAACACGCACAGAGGAAAGGTCATGCGGGAACACAGTGAGAAGGTGGCCACCCGCAAGCCAAGGAGAGAGGCCACAACAGAAATCTGCTGACAGTTTATTCTGGACTTCCAGCCCTCCAGAACTGTGAAAAATAAATTTATGTTGCTTAAGCCACCCAGTTTGTGTTACTCTGTTATGGCAGCCCAAGCAGAGTAATACAGAGAGAAAAAGCCTCACAGAATATGAAAACTGGAAGGAATTTGAGAGGCCATATGAAAATCATCTCCATGAGGTGAGGTGACCTCCCTACATTTCCTCAACTGCTCAGTGGTGGGGTCAGGACAGAAACCCAGGACTCCTGCCTCACTTGGTCCTTCTTCCACCACACAAGGCTGCCTCCTCCCACATTCAAGAGAAGCAAGTGACTGAGGTGGGGAAGGACATCAAAAGGTGTGGAAAAAGAAGTTGGGGAGGTTGATGAGATCATTCCTTTCCCACACTGTTCCACCACTCTTGGACCAGCTCAGCATCTTTAGTTGAAGAAGCATTTATTAAATAACATTATGTGAAACGCACTGTGGAAAGATGAACAAGACATGGTCCCTAACATCCTAAAGCTTATAATCTGAAGGAAGCAATGAACACATTAAAAAATAACGCTGGTAGGAGGCGGTTCAGATGAGGCTAATAAATGAACTATGAACAATATGTAACAGACATTTAAGCAATTGAGTTGGATGGGAGTGGGCTGGAGAGAGGTCTGGAATGGTGCTATGGGAGAGTGAGTATTTGGGTTGAATTTTGAAGTATGAGAAGGGGTATTTAGTAGCTAGAGTCTTATAGGTTGAAGATACAATCCAGGTGGAGGGAACAACTTCAGGAAAGGCAAGACATCAAAAAGGTGCAGAAGAAAAAAAATCCCAATAATTCTAATGGGCCTGGATCACAGAATACATGAGGGCAGAGTGGGAGATAAACATTTCTGATGCTGATCCCAGCATTTGGACTTTAATCCATGAGCAATGGAGGCCAAAGGCCATTTTAGTCCTGTTGAATTTGGAATGTAAGAATGTAAACATTGAGATGCCCAGGAAGTTGTAGTAGACTGGATATTTCAGACTGGACAATTCATCTTTCCTCTTAATTAACTCTGGTCCTCACAGCCACTTGGCTCTCCCCAGCCCCGAGCGATGGCACACACATTCTTATGGCCTCTGCTCTCCCCGCCTAGTGGAAGGTCCAAGTAGTCAGCCCCGATCTCTCTCTTGATCTGCACTTTCACACCTTAATGGCTCCACGGACACCTCTGCCTTGTGGTCAGGCTATATGGACAGGTTAAGGGGAAGCTGAGGATGTTGTGTCATTTTGCAGTGAGGCATTTGACAAGGCCTCCCATGACTCTGTGCACAAGCTGGATGGACATAAACTGTTACAACTGTTTGGTACTTAAACATTCATCACACTTTTATAAGTGCTTCTGAAGGGCCAACCCCATGCATGAGCCTGGGGTGCCAAGATGAATAAGACACAATTCCTGCCCTGGATGGACTCCCCAAGTGGAGTGGGCCCTGCATGGCTGTGATTTCTAGGTCCTAGAAAGGGATTCAAATGAAATCCTAACTCATGAAAGGTTTTTTCCTCTGGTTGAACTAGGGGTGTGGGTGGGAAACCTGGCCTTTTTGATGAAGCACTTGTACAGAACATCTCACACTCTGCAGAGTGGAGCCTCGTGTGAAAACCACAGGGCAGGGACCAGGGGTGTGTGCCTCAGAATCACAAGGGGAACTTTTCCAAAATCCCCGTGTGTAGCCCTTTGCCCTTGTAGATTAAATCTAGAACCTGGGCATATATATTTTGATTTTTTTTGTGTACTCTTGGTTAAGAACCACTATCTAGCTCAGGTAGAAATGAGACACTAAGTCTTAGTTTTTGTTTTTTTTTTCCCAGCTCCTGTTTTCTTATCATTCTTGTCTGGATTGCCCCACTCCCCAGTTTCTATCTTAGAATACAGATTATAAAATACTGAAGAAAATAATAACTGTTTGTACCAAAGTTGTAGGTATTTACAGAGAATTTACTATATGTCAGGCACTGTATTCTGTCCTCATCAGGGAGTGTAAGATGGCACAATGTACTTGGGAATAATAGAAGGGACTGACCTGGTATTTCCACCCGGAAGAGGGAGAGAATTTTAATTACAAATACAGGAATCCAGCAGATGGCATCAGAGAACACTATAAAAAAGAAACGATTTGCAACAGCCACCTCTCTTCCAATGTGATTCCTCACTTCCGAAGTCTGCAAGGCAGTTTTTTTAATGGAACAGAACATAATAGTATAGGAAAACACAATGATGAGAAAAGCCAGCAAGTTCACACCTGTTGGGAAAAGCACAGCTCTTAACATCTCAGGGGTAGAAATCAACAGTAAAAATACTGTGTCACATAGACGTTCATTATGGTGCCTCTTCTCATGCTGTACTACCAAGAAGCATTCTTTTGTGTAAGCCCAGTCATAATCAGCTAAAAACTTTGAATCTAAGGCTATAAGCTAACGGAATTGGGTTTGTCAGATCAAAAAGATATTTAAAATACACAAACCCTTTATGAAGAGTTACAGAGCTCTGAAATTCAGATCTAGGTGTATCGTGAGGTGAATTTTAGCTTTTTTAAAGTCAGAAAAAAGCTATTATCATTTCTTGCTCTCTGCAAATTCAAATCTTAAGGGATTGCTGTAATCATACGTACATCTCAAAAAATAAACATGACCCCATTTCTTTATCTTATAAATATGAACAAGATAACCTTGGAATAGCAAGAAGATAATAGCCTCAGAAACATTATTTCTCATGTTTTTTTTGGGGGGGGGTCCTAAGTAAAAATAATACATAGAACAAAAATCCATTTTTGTTTTTTTTCTCAGATAGCTTACAATAATTTAAACTAAAATTCAGAACCCTTTAGACTTGTTTTAGAAAAAAAAAGAAATAAGAAAAAATAAAAAATCCAACTATATGGTTTATTATTTTAGGGTCAAATATGTTTAAACGATTCTCACTTAACATCATTATCTTATAATGTTGACTTCTTAGTCACTTTGTTATATTCTTTCTATAATAAAATTCCTGAGTAATGATCTTATTCTTCACTGTGAACATAAAATATGCTTACAATTTCAAAGTTGCTTAAAAATGTTCTTCTGAATCTAGACTATATGTAAGAGATGGGTGAGGTCTAGGGGAAAATTCTATAAATTCCCAGTGTTCTGTTGTTTTTATTCAAGGTATTTCACATTCTACAGTATCTCATAATAAAGTCATACAATAGAATTTTATAAAATTGGCTTATGTTAGGCCTTTTGTCAGAAACTTCAGTTAAGAATAAAAGAAAATGACTGTTAAAGATGATCCTCTGGTGCAAATTATGAAAACAGACATGAACGGACCAAAAGTGTGTGTTCTAAAAGCGCCATAGGGATGCGAGAGGTTAGCAATAGGGGATACTGGGTGAGGGGCATATGGAAACTGTACTAACCTTGCAACTTCTCTCTAAATCTAATTCCATTCTAAAATAAAGAATTCATTTAAGAACTGTGTATTCTTATACTCTTTAAAGAGAAGAAAGGGCTCTGGGACTCCTCTCATAGGTAAGCCAAGTGTATATAGATGATGATGAGATACGTGTGTGTGTGTGTGTGTGTTACTATCTGTCTATCTGGAGTATGTCACAGGTGCTAAACCCATTTTAGCCTATCCCACCCCCTTTAACTGTAAGGTCCAGCCTCACCTAACTCCTTGGCCCTTCATCTGGACCTGTTCCTTGTCTATGGGCCTCTACATCTACTATGTCTTCTCCTGGAATAGACTTCACTTGGCTAATGCCTTCTTAGCATTTGGGCCTGAGGGTTTGGACTCATTTCTATTGGAAAGCCTTCCTGGTGCTGGGATTTGGGGCTCCTAGAACATCCAGTACTCCTTCTTTGTGGCATTTGTGAGTCTGTGATGTAAGAATGCATTTACTTGTCTTTATCCCCCTTTCTGGTGGCAGGTCTGTGAGGGCTGATCTATTGTATCTCCAGTACCCAAAATAGTGCCGGCCTATAGCAGGTGCTTAATAAATCCTTGACGAATCAGTGAATATAGTGGTGTGTGTGTGTCTATGAAGTGCATCTATGCTAGGAACAGCTTACACTATTCATGAAAAAATAGCTATAGAATAGGGTAGTGTGTAAAGAGTATTATTAAAATGGTGCTAAGAAAGTGTATTTCTCAGGAGAAGAGAAGGAATAGATGAAGATCTGGGACAGGTTGTTAGAGTCATTTTGTTTTGCGTTTAAGTGATTGATTTACAATTGACCTTGGGAGTAGCAGGAAGTCATTGAAGGTCTTGGAGGGGCAAACACAGTCTTTTTGATACTCAGGTAGTGAACAGGTTAATAGGAGAGAGAAAGCCTCCAAGGCCAGAGGACTAGTAAGGGCTAATGTAATAAACCCTTATTAATAAGCCCTTCAGGGTTGAGGTAGTGAGGTTTTAAATTTGGGTGGTAGTAGGTACAGACTGGAAGAAATAGAAGACAGAGGCATATTTTAATGAAAAACTATTCAATGAAAAAGAAATGATGATAGAGCTTATTGACTACTTAGATGAGAGGAAAAGATGAGAAAGGGAAATTAAAATGATAATACTGCCCTAGTTAAAAAATGACGTGGAAGTCGTCTTAATTTTAAGCAGGAGGATACTTATTAGACAATAACAAATGCTTTTTTCTAACCTTAAAGAGCTAAACTTCTCATTCACTTTTTTTAACAGAGAAAGTAGGATCTTTTCTAAAAAATTAGGGGGAATTAAGAAAACTGAAAAGCAAACAGTTTTATTAAGTACTCTTATGTTGTTGACTTTAGAGCTGCATTTACCAAAGGCAATAAACTTCCCTGGTATTTCCATTCCAGTAATCTCCTGCTAGTGAGTTTCCAGAATTTTATTATTATTATTTACTTAACTCATATCTAGATTGTAAAAACAAATGATTTCAGATAACTTGGTGGGGTCGCAGGTCAAGGCACTAAAACTAGAATTCCTCCAGCTCAGAGTCACGATGTGAAAATCAAAGGGTCTTACAGATAATAAAACATCATCCAGACAGTATGCTTTTGTTTCTCAAACTAAATCTCTATAATAAAAAGTTAAATAAAAACTCTAAATATTCAATAAGAACTTTTCTTTCAAAAAGGACAGTCTGGAGTATAATCTTTTACTTTCTGAAGTGGACAAATACACATTTGCTGAAATTTCTGTTTTTTCTATCAGAATTACATTGGTCCAGAAAATGAAACATATAATTTACCTAGGAAAATTCCAAGAGAATACCCTTTGCTTCCTATATCTTCTGTTTGGTCATAATAGAGTGGGAAACATACGCCATTTTTTCCATAAAAGTTTCCAAAATAATCCTCATTCCAAAATGGAATCACAGCTATTAAAAATCCCACAATCCAGATGCCAGTGAGGATGACCGAGGTCTGCCATTTTCCAGGACGAATGTTACTGAAGGGAAAGACAATGACCAGGAACTTCTCCAAAGTCAAGTATGTCAGCAGCAGGACAGAGACTTCGGTAGACAGCATGGCCAGGAACCCCATGAGACGACACTGTAAACTCTCCATCCACAGCAAAGCATACTTCTGATACTGCCCACGGTATTTTATATCAAAAAAGCCAATGAAGAACAAATAAACACCCATCAGGCAGTCTGCACCTGTTAAAGAATTAATACAGTGTCTGTTGGTAGTTCCCAGCATCTCTGTTTTGGTTTTTTAATTAGGTCTTCCTCCTCCATCCTGTATTAAATGAACTAATATAAACACCGACAACAGTCTCTAAAGGACAATGGACTTCACGAAAGGTGTCCTAATTCTAAAGTACCACACTGGGTCTTTGTTTTATAATTTAAAAATAATGGTGGTGGTGTGTGTGTGTGGGAGGGAAATTTGTGTGTGGGAAGCTAGTTTTTGAACAGCAAACAAATATCACTTGCATAGTTAATAAAGAAAATAATTTTCTTTGGGCTTGAGGAACATGGGTGCTATTGTAATTGAAGGTTTAACAGAGCTTAGTTTATAACCCAAAACCTGTCCTCCATAATCTGTCCATTGACTCATTGGCTCCTTGTTACCCCATTTCCAAGATATAACCCCACACGGTGGGTGCTGGATCACTGCAAATCTAATTTAGATGCAATCTAAAACAGAGAGTCAAAGAGAACAGTACTTCATTCTTAGAAAAAAAGCTGCCCAGCTCATATAATTTATATTAAGTGCCATGGTTGAAGGCCAATATGTATGTAGTGCACACATCACAGAAGACATCCTAAATCCACTTAGATAGGAAACGTACTTACAACAAAGGATTTTGATGGACGTAGCGTGAGTCGTGTTTTCAGCTTTAATGAAAGATCTCATGCCAATGACAAAAAGATTTCCAAAGCAGGTTATGAAAGCTATAACCCAGACAAATATTCTGAGGATATTGTTAGCCAAGAGGTCCTCAAATGAAGAAATGCCGTCAGTCAAGGGCATACATATGCGGACATGGGGAGCATAGGAGCAGTACCGAAAGTTTGTGAAATAACTAAATTCAAAGGGAAAAAAAGAGTCACTTCACAGCAATGACAGAAAAACTAGAGTTGCCGTCCTGTATCAGAGCCGTTGCTCTGTCAGGTATGCAACTTCGCTAGGTCTGTTTATTTTTGGTTATAGTGATTATAGATTTCTTTATCAAATATTACGTTACTCTAGGCAGTGTGCTTCTTGGGAAGACGGAGAACCTGAAGGACATAGAAATTCTGTGCCTTGACTGAAACGAGTCAGGGAAGGACATGAGAATGTGAAGTCTCTAGGACTCCATTTTTCATCATCACATTGAATTATTCTTTAGGGTATTATAAAAAGTAAATTGTCCTTGTTACACTGACCTGCAGCAAACATTCAGGGGCTTGGGTTTGGGATGGAAACTAAAAACATCCCTGTCTTGTGCTTCGTTTTAATTATACTCACTTAACCAGCCTCCTTTTCCCTGACACTGGCGGGAAGGGAGGGTCTCAGAGACTAGGAAAACTCAGTCTCACGGGAGCTAGGAGAAGAAGCAGATTTCATACCAGGGCCTAAAAGGGCTTAAACAATTTCTAGAGGCAAATATAGGTTTGTTTGTGATCAATGTATTTTTGATCTAGGTGTGTGGAAGCTTGACGTGTTTGAATTGGGAGGTCATTTGGCTTATCGCCATTCCCCAAACCTGTGTATTTAGGCTCCCCCCCCCATTAAAACGTATTCCATTTTTGTTTTCTTGTACCACCTCTTTTAGTTCATTTCTCTTTGTCTAATCCTTTTTTGCCATCTCCCCATGCGGTTTTGAGACTAGCCACTTAAATCAAGCTTTACTCTGCCGAGGCCTCAAGGCCCCCGTGATCGATTGGCTGCCCAGATCCACCTCACCTTCCCTTCATTGCTCGTTCCGTTCAGGCATATTGGCCTTCTTCCAATTCTCAAAGAAGCCAGGCTCACCCCTCTTCTTACTGCACTGCTTTTGCTGTTCCCTCTGCCGGGAAGATTCTTCCCCCTAGATATTGCCAGACCTGCCCCTCCCTCCATTCAGGTCTGCTCAGACGTCACTTCTCTCTTCTATGTGAACCATCTATCTCCTCTTTCTGTCCTTTCGTCTTGCTACACTTTTTTCCACAGTGTTTATTCACAGTTTATTTGTTCACTTTGTTTCCCAAAGCTAAATGGAAGCTCCATGGGGCAGACACTCCTCTCTCCTGTTTGTCCTGTGTTCTCAGACCTAGAACAGTGCCTGACACATGCGAAGTATTCAACAAATACTTCCTAGATGATCACGTGAAAGATGGATAATTTAGTGCTGGGCTTGTCAGGTAGGGAAATAGGGGGCAATCGCTGCCCTCAAGTAGCTGACAGTCGAGCTTCCGGAAATCATCTATGCAATTAAAGGAACTTGATGTATAATTCCCTTTTTATCTTCTCCTTGCCTGGAGTCCTTGGTACACACTTGACTTGACCTTTTCGTTCCTTTAAGATTCCATTATGTCCACTGTCTTCAGATGGACCCAGCTAAGGTCTCTTGGTCATTCAACCTTTCCTCCTGCTATGACCATGGCACTGGTCAGCAGGTGGAAGGAGAGGGGGTTATGAGGTGGAAGTGTTTCAATAAATGGTGGACAAAGAGGTGAAGAGAAGCTAGGTCACTTAGTAGGGAAGTAACTAAGTTAAAATATTTTTTGTTAATTATTAGCTGCTTCTTGACCTTATTTTAAGTGGCAGCTTCTCCATCAAGTTCTAAAAAGGTTGAATTTCTCTAATCTAAAAGGACCTCACATTCTACCCTCAACAAGGAAAAGATAGCCTCATTAAATAAGTATCTACTGGTGCCACAGAAAGAGAAATGATGAAAACCATGTGGATATGCATCAAGTACTTGTCTTTTAGTAATCACACCTACTGCAGAGACTTAAACAAAATGTTCTCCCAAAAGAGCACCTTCACACCAACCATTTCATCCACTTGCTGCACCCAACTTGTAATCTTACACCGAATCCTCCCTATTGTTGTGGATAACAAGGGTTAATTTTTGAAATCATGAACACATTAGAGTACACAGTTGATAAAGAAATGAATCATGTCATAAACACATATATTAATATAACACAACTTACACAGTGCACTTTAGCCAAATATATTAAAGTGACATCAAAAACTACTATAAAGATTAATTACCTCCATTTTGTAGTGCACTTAGTAACAGTAACAACACCTGGAATTTATATAGCACCTTTCTTCCTAAGGGCTCAAATCTTAGAGCAGCCGACTGCTCATTCATGTGAGGTGAATTAATGTTTCCAGGTCTCCTGAGTACCATTTAGCCAGGGACTTCATCTTGTGTAATGTGTGGCATTCTGGTACCCTGATCTCTTATTGGGCCTCAATTGGATAAACAGCGTGTTTCCAGAGAGAAGTGTCATTCATGTCGGCACATCATAATATTGAACTCTATTTGAACAGGGACCAAAGGTGACAAAATTAAAAAGTTCTCAATAAAAAGACTTTTCTTGCATAAAAACACATTGCAGTGATACATTAGACAGTTTATACTAGAACATCGACAATATTTCGCCATGCTTACTTCTCCATTTTTCATACATACATACATGTGAGAAAGATTCATCATGGGTTGAAACATCCGTGTGTTTATATTTGGAATCTCTATCCTTTCCAGGTCTCTGGAAAATATGCACAATAGGTTTCATGTTTTCAGGGCTTAATTTTTTAATAATTGCATTTTTTGTCATATCCTAGATACCATGCTTCGAAGTCTTATTACCAGTTAAAATTAGGATGAAAATTTTACAGTAAACTATCTTAGGAGATTGCCATTTCTATTTATGACTTTTGTAAGTTGGAGCTGATTTTGTCACTTCATATGCTGAATTACATTCTAATAGAACATCCTCATGCATTTCTTTGATTTAAAAATGGCAGTGGTGATTTGTGTGATCATGAAATTGGCTGCCTAGTTTGATTTTATAGACCACGCCATGTGAGCTTTAGAGGGTTTCAGACAGGAACTGATATTTCCAACCTGAGAACATCACCGAATTAAGTTTTGTGAGAACCTGGATTCAAATACAGTCGTTTCTTCCAGGCCTGTGCATCTTTAGGGTGGAAAACCATGGAAGCAGTAAGCAAGGCTTCAATTCAGGACAAGTGTTCCTAAGACAGTAGTGGGAAGCATAACGCCTTTCCTTCCTCTAGACCCCATGAGATGTCCTCAGAGGGCTCCAGTGGGAACCGCTATATTCCTCATTTATCCAGAAGCTTCTTCAAATACAGATTCTTTGAAGACTCTTTAGGACGGCATGAATTAAGGGAGTCTGCCATGTTCTCAGGAAACAGATGGAGAGAGGAAAATCTAAAAAGACAGAAGCCTTTTACTTTTAAGGTTTATTTTGAAAGATGTTTGATTCTCACTCAGTTTCTTTTTGACTGATCTGAATAAGGATTTCTTGACATGGTTCTGAGTTTTCACCCATCCACTGAGTCTTTCACAGAACTGCCTTTGTTCTTCGGCAGTCAGAAATGAAACCTAGTGGAGCAATTATACTCCAGAATTGTCCCAGGGCCTCTGATGCAGGAAACTTTTGAGTCCTTTTTAAAGGATTGGTTTCCCTCTTTCTTTTGCTCTCTGGCTTTCTCCTGGGCTTATCACAGTTTTAGCTCTACATGGATTGTGTGTGATTATTTGATTAATAGCTGATAGTTTCCAAAAGGGTAGGCGTCACTATATCTTGGGTACCTAAGACAATGCTATGAATAAATTGGCAGCCAGCAAATGTTTGTAAAATAAATGTGTAAATGAATCTTAAAAAAAAAGGATTGAGACAATAAAGAAAATAAATAAAGAAAGGTGTTGGGTAAATAGTTTCTAATTTGACTTTTAGAAAGGCATGATGTGGTAGCATGATATTTTGACTTTTAGGATTCAGTGTGTAGTAAGTGAAAAATCATTTTGTTCACATCCTAAGGTCTATTATTATATGAAAAAACAATATATTATATATATGTATAACACACACACACACACATCTTTGTTTTTTTATATTCTCGCTTCTTAAGAACAGGAACCAAGTCTTTTTCATCAGTGGATGCTCACTAATACCTGTTGAAAGAGAACTTAATCTGGAATTAATTTCCAAAAGAAAACTATTTAGCAAGAGGAAAAAGTGATATTAAGGATTAATCTTTGGAATTAAATGAACAAAAGCTTAAGGCTGAGATCACATAATATGTATGCCCTCCGTGTAAAAACAAACAACAAACTTAAACCAACAATGGTTATTCCTGGGAAAGGAATGAGGAAGTTCAGAGAAAAACTGGCAGAGTTCTTGACTCTATTTAAACCTCATACATTTGAAATTTTAAAATACTAAACAACATTAAGTGCCTGAATGTTCATATTGGTGAGATAATTTTTTTCTTTACTGAGAGAAATATAAAAAGCATGCACCGTAGACCAATATCAAGTAGACTGTTGTAGCAAAGGGGAAAGGAAAAAGCAAGCAAGTCTTACATAATTTTTTACCAACTGTTCAGTAACCAAACTATTGAAAATTTAATTCTTTGCGAAGATTGCAGGATGAGATTTTTCCATGTGAATCTGGTATACGTAGCTTCAAACACAGAAATGTTTTTTACAACATATTGAATGGTTTTGCTGTCATTCGGTACATACTTGATGGTAACAATGATATTCACAACTGTCTGATGATGCACGCTCAAATAAAAACCCCTCTGTGTATCAAATACCCATTTAAAAATAAATGTGGTTCTGAGTAAAGTACATCCACTAAAATGATAATCAACATACTGTTATATTTCACTTACAGAGACTGAAGTTGTTTAAGACTTTCAAACTGGTTCTTGTGGAGATACAAAAGAGGATTGGACGACAGATTCCTTTTGTACCATTAGAAAGAGGGAGGAAAGAAGCATCAGGATGTTATTATTTTGGAAGCTCGAGATGTTGCCATTTAAATCTGCTGATGGTGGGAAGAAGAACTTACAGTTTTTGTAGAAGCTTCAGGTCTTTAAAAATGTGGGGTGGTAGCTCCATTATCATATTGCTAGACAGGTCCCTGTTGATGAGAGTGAAAACCCGACACAATTACATAGGAAATAAATGACATGGTTATTACTCCTCACAATTATCATCATCCCATTGGATGTAACAGAAAATATGATCCAATTTAACCAACCTGATAACTTGTTACAAAACAAGGCTGTGTGAGTCAGCCAAATGGAGTGTTTTCCATCACTTTCAGACGTGTGATATTTTGCTCATCCAGTTCCTGTCCGGAATTTCCTCTCAATCTCTCTCCAACACATTCCCAACCTGGCTTCAATGTCTACTTTGATTAATTTCCTCTGTTTCAGGTACTCTCTGTACATTTCGATCATTCATTATTTCTGTGATTCTTATTTGGTTCAAGTATATGATATCTTGTTTATCCAACTGTATTACAAGCTTTCTGAGGCCAAGACCTCTGTCTTCTACTTACTCTTGCTTTCCAGCTAGGACAGTATTGGCCACATATTATCTGCCCAGATAATCTTGAATGGATGAATTTGCACATTTTAAATCTATTTTGATATGGTACTATTTTTTAAAAGAAATTAAAAATTTAGAATGAAATATAATAGGACTGTCCAATCCATGAAGAATCATAGGGAAATGCTTCTACAGAATATATACAGAAGGAATCAGGGCTCTTCAAGAGTCCAAAATATCCTTCTAAAGGGAAGATGTTCAAAAGTGAAATAGACATGCAATTGCTTAAAACTCAAACAAAAGATCTTATCTATTTTTGATGCTTTGGAGCTGCTGATGGGTATGTGGGAGTTACAAATAACTAAGACTTAAGTCTTTTTCTAAAGAAGCTTACAATTAGAATAAACAACTAGATTATAAAACAAGGAAGGAATGAAGCAAGTGCTATTATAGATGTACTGACTAAATAAAGAGGAAGGAGTTGGAAATCAGGAACTGTTTGAACAAAGCTTTATGATTTTCATAGGTAGTATAAAAGAAGAACAGCTTTTCAGGTGAGAGTTAAGCAGGATCAGTGAAACAGAAACTTGAGATTCAATGACATCTTCTGGAATTGGCAGATGGTCCAGCGAGGGTGGAGGATGGAAAGCATGGGGAGATGTAGAGGAAGTGAGTCTGGAAATGAGCATGGAGACAAAATGGAAGGGCCATGAATACATTCCAAGGCAGAACTTCCCAGGGCATAGTCCAGGCATTAGAACCAAAGAGGATTCTTATAAAAAGAGCACATTCCTCGTGCCCACTCCAGAACTATCTCTTCAGAATCTCTGGGAGGGAGGCTGGTAACATGCATTTTAATCCAGTATCCCTTGTGATTCTTCTGAACATTAACATTGAAATCTGGCAACAAGGAGGGAGAATATGAAGCAGGACAGGGGCATACTATGCTCTGGTTCATGGGATGATAGTTCTGTCGGAAGCATGAAAAGTCGGAGAGTCAAACGATGGAGACCAGGCAGGAGGCTTTGACCCTGTACCATGTGAAAGCTGATGAGGGCTTAAGGGGGTCATGGGCAGGTCTCACCATCTGGTAGGACATGAAGTGTAAGGAGGGTTGAAGGGAAAGGAAGAGGCTTCGAGCCTGGCTGCCAGGAAGGATGCCGATAGCCCTATGATGGTAAGTTCAGGAAAAGAAGCTGGCAGGAGGGTAAGGGTTATCTATAAATTAATTGTAACAGATTACTTTTGAGATGCTATCATGATATCCAAGTGTAGTTGTCCTGCCAGGTGGCAATTCTGATCTGGGGCTGCAGGTAAGAAGAGGACACCTGGGTCTAGTGTAGAAGGAAAGCCACGAGCTTGCATGGGTCAGAATGAGCATGACAACAGAGCAAGATGATGATGTCTTGTGCAGCTAGAAAACATCCTGTTAAGTGTTATGTTGAAAAACAAAGTACAGCCTTTTGGAAGAAAGGACTTTAGTGGCCTCACCTAAATGTGCTTATTCCTCTCCAGCATGGTTTGTTGTCATGAAGGCATAGTAAAATTATCTAACATTTTTGTAAATTCAGGAAGTAAAAATGCCTTGTTCAAGTTAATTCTATAAACTTCTGAATTTCTTTTTTCACTTATTGATGAACAGTGGATTGGAATAGATTATTGGTGATGTTTTAAAAAACAAGCTAATATCTCTTAATCAGACTCTTTTTTTGGGGGGTGGGAATGTGTGTGGCTCTGCCTAAGTGTAGGATAAAAAGAGGATTAGAATATTTTTCAAAATGTGGACTCCATACCACTGTTTCCTTAAGTTTGCACCTAAAACATGCTCCTGTGTGTCCTGGGCTGCTCGCTTTCTCTACCCTATAACCCAAGTCCCTATCAACCCTCTAAAGTCTCATCAGGAATGCCCTTGTGAAGAATAAGCGAGCGATTCTGAGGGAGCTGCTTTTCACTTTTTGCCATAAAATGACAATATTTTTAGTTGTAATGGAGTGTCTTGCACATACTAGGCACTTAGTAAATATAGGTGGATTTAGTTTGTGATACTTATAAATTCTTTTGAATTATCTTGATTATTCGTGAATTAGTTTTCAAATTACTCTTTCTGAGTTATTTTCCCCAGTACTTCCTGGATTTCTAAACGAGGCATAAAGAACGGGGGAGAGGTTAATTAAGAAATTAATTTCCATTTTTAGGCTTCAGATCAGGAGGAGGAGTTCTATACCCAAGTCACCCCCTTTGTAATGTAACAGACTTAGTTTTAACTTCCAGTGATACACAATTATGGGGGTAGCAATGAATTAATAGCAAGACAGATGTTTTTAAAAGTTTTAGCTCCACAAAACATATATTTGAACAGAAAAAGTTACATGAGCTCTCTGAATATTTTTCAATAAACCCGATCATTCTAGACATTTGTATTTGCTTCATCTACTCTGGAAGTCGTAATTTCTCAAGGGATAATAAGCATCTTTGTTCCTTTGTTCAGTCATGATTAATATGATTTCAGTCAGTTATTCATTTAGCAAGCATTTATTGAGAATTAACTATACTCCAGCCATTAGAGATAATAATCCTTGAGTTTAAGGAGCTCTGGAAAACTCATTTGCTCCAAAACACACACACACACACATACACACATACATACACACACACACACACAGGAAATCACCCAAAGAAAATAGGGAGAGAAATTAGAGTAGGCTAAATCCATATTAAGCCCACCGTTTGATTTTAATATGCTTTTGGCTTTAGGATAATGTTGGTTCTCTTAATTGATTTTGAATATCCAGGAGTCTGCAGAATTTGATTGCCACTAGGGAAAAAGCAGCCTCCCTAGTCACTTAAATTTATAATCTTGGAAGAAGCAATCCTATTTTCCTAGTAGACAATGCTACTTACAGTTCTCCTAAATTTTTTAATGAAGAAAATGTCTTCTCTGGAACAAAATCAATTTGATTTCTAGGCAGAAACCTGTAAGACATGGTGAGAGTCAGCACTGTTGGTTTGTGTCTACTGTAAGAACCAGTTCTCATTGGGAGATGCCACTGATCCGGGGGGTAATTCCATAAGGCCTCCTTTGAAATCTCAAAGTAAGGTGTGTTCTGGTGTGGAACGTAAAGCAGGAATTTCTCACCAAGGATATCCATGTGTTCTCTCTAGGAAATGCTGCCATAAGTAATTTGAGGTGCTGAGTGTGGTCTATGAAGCTGCATTTTGTTTGGAATCTGATTATTTCAGAAAGTGTTCATTTCCCAATATACACACACGGATGTCAAATTTGGAACCTGTTAATTAATTAGAGTAGGCTTTGAGAGAGAGGATCCTTGTGTAAGGCACATTCCTTAGGAAAAGGCCAGAAAGAACAAAGCTTAAACCAACCCCATAGCAGTTTCTGGGGCCACAAATGGATTTTAAATTGGGTGGTGGTGGGGAAGGCAGTGGTTTTACACTTCCTTTGTCTAGAAATGGAATTCTCCAAGATATACAGTAAAAAGAGGGGGTCTGCCTCTAACTGCCTTACAGAGGTGTTAACAAATGAGATCATGAGTGTGACAGTGATTCAAAAGCTACATGGGGCTATAAAACAGAAGGTGTCAATGGAATTTGTTTAGTTTACCAGTGTTCTCTGTACCAGTGTTCTCTGTCATTATCTATGAGAAAAGGAATAAACTCTTTGCATCTGCTGAGTGGGATAGCCCCTCTTTTCTCATTAAATATGCTAGTCTGCAATCTGATTGATAGATACGTAGCCTGGCAATAACCTTATCTCTTAGTTTGTTGAAAAACAGTGGTTAGACGACTACAAATGAATATACTCCAATTTTTCTTTTCCAACCACCTGTGCAACCATCAAACATTACTGCTTACCGCATGTGGAAAACTATGGTTAAAACCAAAGCAAAATTCTTGTGTTTTTACCAGGGCAAATATGCCATAGCCGATCCACGTGCATACCACCCCCCACACCCTTTGAAAAACGTAATCAGCAATCAGAATCACCAATCAGAATCTTTGGCAAACCAGAAGACATCAGATATTCTTCCCTTAAGAATAAAATTATTATGGGTGCCTGGGTGGCTCAGTTGGTTAAGCGACTGCCTTCGGCTCAGGTCATGATCCTGGAGTCCCGGGATCGAGTCCCGCATCGGGCTCCC